TGGTTTTGAATACGAGTTAATGATACTTGTTGTGAGGATGACCACGGTTACTAGAATGGTTTTAAAAAATTTGAAAATATACATATGAAACTGATGTGGCAGAGTAAAAATTGGAAAAATTCAACTTTGAATAAAATAGCCTGACACGGCTCTCCCAAGTTTCCCTCGCTCCCTGTATCGTAACTTGTCCGCGGCGCTAACAGAGTACCAGAGTGATGCCACATTTTCGCTTGGATGACTTTATTTTCTAAGATTTTTCGTCTCTGTCAAATCGAAACGCCTAAATGTATAAAATATCAATGCTTTTTGTCTTCGTTAACAAAAATGCGCATCTGAGAATGACAATTCACTTGATCTGGACACTTTTTTGCCAGAGATAACCGATGAAGTGGGTATCCCATGTTAGTGACGTTACTGGCATGCCTCCACAGATTTGAGGGCTGGGGAAAAGCTTTGCCAGGTCATTCGATCCCAAGCTACATGCCTTCAGTTAGTGTCTATTTCTGGTCTTTTTTTTTGTTATACTACTTAGTAATCACAAAAAAGGCACCACTTGTCACTAGGGCTTAAAAAAGCCAGAGTTTTTTTGCAGGTGTACGAAACTCAGGAAAATCGTGTTTGGCAGCTCTCATAGCTAAAAATTCGGATATTCCGAATATCCATGTATACTCGCCGGATGACTTCCTCCACATGGACGAAGCAGCAAAAGTGGCGAAGTTGCACGAAATTTTCAAAGAACTCAGTCAACTCCGTTCGTGCATTTTGCTGCTCGATGACTTAGAAATGCTAATTGGTATATTTTCTGATATTTTATTTAATTTTTTCTTTAGCACTTGATCTATTACTCAAAACTGGCAAAATTCTGGATCAGGCACCTTATCGTGGATAATTTCGAGCCTCTGGATTCTCGGTGTATATCTGTGATTAGGTTTATGACTTTTTTTAGGTTTCTTCATTTCTTTTTTTCGGCAAAAAAGTTACGGTTTGTTCTGGAGTATGTTACTTTTCAGAGTACTGGGGATTTGGGGATCGTTATTCAAGCAGAATTTTACGAACAATTGTATTACTGCTACGACAAACAGCAAGAAAACCGGTATGATTTGAAACCATATTTTCTTGAAATGGATTGGTAAATGAAAGATTCACTTGAATTTGATTCCATCTATTATCAAAAAAGCATTTCAGAGCAGCAATCGTTTGATTGTGATAGCTACAGTAACCTCGAAGTGCGCGAAAAACCTGGATCTCCGTGATTATTTCACCCGCACTATCGAGGTACCCGTACTTACCGAGGTGGCACATCTGATGGCCGTTATCGAAGATTCGAATTTATTCGATAAGCAACAGTGCCAAGCGTTGGCAAATCGACTGGAGAAGGAATCAAAAAAGTAATTCAGCCTCACGCAACTTACTGATTCTCGATTCTTTGTTTAATTTTCAGTGTAAAAGAATTACTGCTGGAGATCGGTCATGGGTTCTGGGACGATCCACATCTTCCACTGGCTGTGTTTGTTTGTCGCAGAC